CTTGCTCCCTCCATTGTAGAACCCCCTCCCAGCCCTGTTACCCCAAACCCCGTCTCCCTGATGCCCTGACAGCCCAGAGCCCCCAGCCCCATGCCCCCCGATCCCCGGTACCCCCACGCCCCGCCCGCCGTGCCCACCGCAGGGTGCGCAGGGCGGTGGGGGGCAGCCAGCCCCGCCAGGCCTCGGCCATGGCGTCGTAGAGCCAGGCGGCCGACTGGTTCCCACGCACGTAGGGCGGGGGGAAGGCGTTCACCGGGGTGGCCTCGTGGTTGCCCACGGCCGGGAAGACGCGCAGCCCCCCGAGGCGGGCGCGCAGCAGGGCCGTCACCGTGCGCAGCGCCCGCAGCTGGTCCCCGCGGCTTTGCTGCCACACGTCGTGCGCGGGGATGTCCCCGGTCCAGTACGCGGCCGCGAACCCTCCGGTGCCGTTACCGGTGTCGCCGGCGCGGCCGCTGGCGTTGGGGAGCTGCGCCAGCAGCGCGTCGATGGTGTGCAGGGGCAGGTCGCACTTGCCGTAGGTGCCCCAGAACCCCGCGGCCCCCGGCCCGTCGCGGGGGGCCCCGCGGCAGCACAGCGGGTCGGGGCAGGCGGCGGCGCTGCCGGGCGTGTACCGGCGGTCCCAGTGCAGGTCGGTGAGGAACAGGATGCGGGCGGTGGGCGCGCCGGGCGGCGGCGGCGCGGGGGGGCCGCACCGGCGGCTTGGGGGCGGCGGGCAGGGACAGGTTCCAGTCGCCCAGGATGTCCCAGTGGCCGCAGCGGGGGCCCAGCAGGAGCCCGCAGGCCTCGGGCGGGCGCAGCACCGAGCGCGCCCAGGCCGCCACCACGTCGCGCTGGAAGAGCTGCACGGCCTGGCGGCACACGGGCGGCCGCGCCAGCCGCAGCTCCTGGCACAGCCGCGATGCCACGCGCCCCACGCGCGCCACGTTCGGCTCCAGCTGCGGGGGGACACCGGGATGGACGCGGCTCCCCGAAACACGGGTGCCCCCGCTGCCCACGCCCGCCAGCCCCCCAAGATAGACCGTGCACCCCAAACCCCAGCTGCCATCGCTGCTCCGTGCCCGCCAGCCCTGCACCGGGATGGACACGGCGCCCTGTTCCATGGCCAGCCTCACTGCCCCGCACCCACCAGTTCCCCAGGATGGCCATAGCACCCCAAATCCCTCACTGCCCCGCACCCACCAGTTCCCCAGGACGGCCATAGCACCCCAAATCCCTCACTGTCCTCACTGCCCCGCACCCATTGGCCACAACCCCGGCACACTGACCCCCCGTGTGTCCTCACTGCCCTGCACCCACCAGCTCCCCGGGACGGACCCCACACACTGTCCCCTGGCTGCCTGACACTGTCTCACACCCACTGGCCACCCGCAGCCCTCAGCTGGGTGTCCCAAGGCCAAAGGGGACCCCCACCCTCTCTGTCTCCTCTGTCCCCCAGCCCGGTTCCCT